GTCGTGTTCGATCCATCGTTTAGCGCTCTGGCGTTCTCGTCTTCGTCGCTCTTTTTATTATTCGGGAACCGGGAATATATAGAGCAGAACGAGGGTGGATAGGAATGTGGCGAAAAGCATCGCGGACAGAACGCGATCCTGAATAGTACGGGATGAACCTGCGGCCGGCTCTTCGGTATCGTTCTTCCCTTCGTCGCGGAGAAGGAGAAGAGCGGAGACGAGACGCGCCAGAGCATCCAGCCCGTACGCGTCCATGTAACCCACGTCCATGATTGCGTCCGCGTCCATTAACACCTCCTGCAACACCAACAACGATACTACTCAGTCCCAGTCTCTACTTTGTCGCTGTTCGATTGTATGTTTCCTCTTTTATATATATATATTTTTTTTATACAAAAACTGCCCCTGTCCTCTTCTCCCTCTTTCGTATAATTCTTCCTTTTTCGAAACGACAACATCCTCGAGTTCAACAATCCGGACTATTTGAAAGATTCGTTTTTCAGAGGAACGATAAACAATGGTCGTTCGTTTTAAGTGTTTCGTCGAGAAAGCGATTGAATTTAGTATTCAGCATTGTTCCAAAGAACACACCATAATCAGAGATATCAGATAGCGGCTGACTTTGGTCCCTTCACAGGACCGATAAACAAACGCGAACAATAGTAAGATTCGACAAAGGATGAACGGGTAATTAAGTCGGGATACGCCGATCGAGGAGATGTTAATTACGAATGGTTTGATCGTGGAGGAACCGATCGGGAGAGAAGACACTCGGTAGACGCGTTCAGAGCGTTCTCCGATGAAGCGACCAGCGACACAAAAGCGAATACGAATCTAGGCGCATGCAACTACAGCTTCTCTGCTCCTCTGCGATTAGTCCTTCCAAATCGATGGAAACGTTTTGGAATGTTGACTGGATCGCACAACCTCGTGACTGAATCGAACTCGGGGACTGACTAGTAGTTGTTGGAAATATCATGGACAAACGTAACCGACGGTGGTCGAAGTATTAGTTACCGACATTGTCGACGGATCTTCGATCACGACGATCGGACGGACGTGCGTTTCATACGTTTCCGCTCGAACCGTACGAGCTACATCATCGACTTATGGCTTCGACCCTTTCGAACCAGCGGCGCGAAATGTATCGAACCGCAACAGAAAAAAATTTGTTGGACAACAGAAAGAAATAACAAAGTAATTTCGTTCGAACACTCGGTATCGCGTATGTTGCGCATGCCGCGTTACTATGAGCGGAGAAACAAGCACAGAGAGTCTCAAAAGAAGGATCAGGAGACTAGGTGTCGGAACGTTAGCTTACCTCATCGACGCCTATTTTCCGACACGCCTCGAGAAAGTTATCGACGTTTCGCCTGCATCTCGCCATTGTCAGTTTGGGCTGCGAATCGAAAGAAATCGATTATACTACTATCGAGATCGAGAAACGAAACAACAAGATATAACGATGCCAACAAATACTTACAACTGCCGGCGAAGGAACGTGAATACTGGCAACCGATCGTGGTCTCACGTGGTTCGCCAAATGACAGAGAACAACACCGTCCGTTAACGCCGGGGCAAGATCTTCCGGCAAAGCCATCTTCAGTCTTGTTTCTATGTGCTGAGAAGAAATTCAAAGTTCAGACGATTCGATGTCGTCCATTTCCCGTTGCCAATAAAAACGAACACTCACGTTTCGGAGCTGCTCGATCAAGTCAGCCTCCTCCTTGGCACGCTCGAATTCCCTTCTCATAGTGAACGAATACTTTTCTGGAACGTTGCTGTTCCACGTGACCGATCGGGGAGATTTCGGACTTCCGCCGTTTCTGCTCGGACTCTTGTTACCTATCGGACATTACGATCGTTAGGTATAAATAAAACGGTAAAACCAGCTATCGTTTTACACATGTCGGACTTTTGATGCTTTCCAATTACCTTCCACGTAACCAACGGCAGTTTTGACTAGTCTAGGAGTGTGTGCAGGACTGGTGCCCGAGGACAGAATGCTCGTCGAGGTTTTGATTGGCGAGTTAGGCTTCTTGTACGGTTGCTCCAGATATTTCCCGTTCTTATTGTTGTACTCGTTATTGCTACCGTTGATGATCGGTGTGTTTTGGTAATTGATCCGCGACGGTGTCACCTTCTGGACTGGTCTTTTGGTAGCGTTCTCCTCGTTAAATATCTGTTTACCAGTCATAGCAATGGCCTCCTTGTTGTTGCCCGAATCCGTCTCGTTGCTTTGCGATTCGTTGCCCGGCGGTGTGATCTGTTCTCGTGGCCTGTACACGCTCGGTCCTTCGCTGGCCCGTTGTTGTCTCAACGCCTCTTTGTACTCTCTGAAAAAATACCAATGTATCGAAGCTTTCGAGTCTGCGGGACCTCGAGTAACGCAAACCCATACCTGTACGTTTGGATGTGATTGAGGGGCCTCTTCTCGTCTCCGTTCAGCAAAGATGTGGCAGAGTTCGCGGTCGAGTTTTGCAAGGGTTGAACGGACTGGGTGTTCGTCGATACTGGTTGGGTTTGGTTCAAGTGAGAGGTTTCAAGGGGACTGTAAAATAACGACGAAGAACACACGCTTTGATAGTTAAAAGCAAAAGCGGCGGCACGAGAGCGTGAGGCTGCGAATAGTCGATATACCGTGACAAGTAAACGCACGGCGTTTTGCGATGCGTAGCGGTTTCTCATCATCGGTTTATTAACGGATCGCTTACCCTGGCGGCGTTATTGACGCGTGATAGAGACCAGAGGTCATCGGTCTTCTGACGTCGGCCCCATTCTCAGAGGTGCTTCTCTCTAGTCTCCTCTTCTCCAGTTGATCGTGTAGTATCATCGCCTGCGGACAACGTTTCATAGAAACAAGGGGGAATGAAGAGATTCGAGGAAAAGGCGATCGCGTCGTGGCATCGGTTGGATGTCGAGCGCAACAATCGCGAGGAACGTCGGCCTCCGGGAGTTCTTTCAATGGGTTAAGGTCATTCAACGGAGGCTTGAACGACGGCCAAACGCGTCTCGAGCAACACTGATATCATTTTGAAGGGGGTCGCGCGCGCGCGCGCGAGTTCTATTCAATCGCTAAATATAGACGTTGTATCATACACGCCACTCCGGAGGAGAACCTCGGAACGTTACAAAATTCTCGTCCGAGCTGGAAACCGTAATCGACGAGTGAGTTCGTCGTATAACCGCTCGTAACCTACCTTGCCAAGCTCATCCTCGAGAGACGTGTGCTCGCCGGGCGAGATGGTGCTAGGTGTCGATGTTCCGCTGCATGATCCGTTCACGGCCACCTCGTGCGGCAGAGTGATCGAAAGCGGCGAACATTCTTGCCGCCACAGCCCTCGAATCTCGCCGTCGTGTACCTGCGCGCAAAAACGTGTCCAGCAGGAGGATAACTACGCGTGAAATCGTCGATCATCGTGTGCGTGGTGGTGCGTTTAGAATACGTTTATTTGCGGTTTTTCTTTTCTACATGTCGTTCGGACGGGACGGAATAGAAAATCGTCCCCTGGACGAGATGAGAGAGAGAGAGAGAGTTTCTACGATGGATCAAGGTTATCTACGGGTGGATCTACGGGTGGATCTACGGTGGTCTGGCCGGCGTAAAACATGCCGTACAGCCGGGAGACGAAGCGCAGAGAGAAGAAGAGGGCAAGAAGAAGGGCGAGGAAACTAACCACGCTGTGGATTTCTTGGGACCAGCGTTTGTCGACGCCGTCGCTGGTGCTGTATCCGCTGTCGACGTTGTGTCGCCTGTGGGACCTCGTGTCCAGGGTCGCGTGACCCCTGACATCCAGAGGTGTTCTCCGACCGCGACCGCCTCTGGCTCTATCGTGTTTCGCCGCCTGTCTCTCCAAATATTTGAAGATGTGCGTTCGCCCGCGAATGCATAGCTGCGAACAGACAAGGAAACCCGAAACGATTGGTAAGTCTCGACGGAAGAACGCTCGTTGATTCGTACCAGGGACTTCTACCGAAACGTAAAACACCGATATTTTCGGTTGTACCTTCTCCCTATATAACCCTATATAAGCCCTACCCTTATAGAAACCGAAAAACTACTGATATTTATTTGAGGTTTGATGGCATAATACCGATATCAAAATCATACCGGTTTAAGTCCCTGGTTCGTACGACTAGACGGGAGGTTTTTCGTTTATTTTTGCTCACCGAGGCAGGCGGCGAGGTTAAAGGATTGTCGGACAGCCGAAAGTCGACCAGGCTCTTCATTTTCCTCATCTCGTTCGGAAGCACGGATATTCGGTTGCCGCTGATATCCAGCTTCACGAGTCTCAGGTACGTCAGTTCTGCGCAAGAATGGTGTTCGTTTACGATCGTATACGTGGCTCGATTACTGGGATACCGTCAAACAGAGAAATCCATCGAATCCTCGACCGATAAAAAAGTACCGGATGGGAAGGCCGCGCGGACGAAAGAAGCTTTAATGCATTAAAGAAACGTTCAGCCGGTTTCCGTTGACGATAGCGCCCGCAAACGGATTCCGATCTTGCGACGGTGTGAGTGAACGCGCAAACGCACTCTATCTTGTTTCAATTTTCCCCTCTCTTTCTCGTTTACGAAAGACGAGACCTTTAAATGTTGTCAGAACGTGGAATACGCATTTCGGATGAATTATCTCTGTTGTACAATCAGCGAAGCTTTAAAAGGGATAAGACGATGAAGCTACCTATAGGCAGGTGCACGAGCATGTTGCTCCTCAAGTCCAAGGACCTAAGACGCGCGAGATCGCCCATCCTGGGAGGCAGATTCGTGATTTCGTTGCAACCAGCATCGAGCTCGGCCAGCGCCGACATTCTGCCCAATTCGTCCGGCAGCGATGCTAATCTATTGTGAGCGACCAGTAACGTTTGAAGCGGTAGCCTGCATATCTCCCGAGGTAGAGACGTCAATTGGTTCCGGCTGTGAACAAAATCGTCGAAGAAACTCGTCAATATTACACCCCGCAACGTGTTCCGTTCGAGAAGTATCGTAGGCATCGTCGTCGAATTCTTCGTGCCATCATACTACAGACCTAAGATCGAGGTAGTTGAGGGACTGGAGCATCGCCACAGTTTCCGGTATTATTCTTATGGCATTGTGGTACAAATGCAGCTTTTCGAGAAACGGAAACTCCGTGACCTCTTCCGGTAACTCGGCGAAACGGTTCTTCGAGAGATCTGTAACAAAGAATACGACAATGATACTCGTCACGTATCGCATTGCGATGGATTCTTAATATTAGTACAGATTCTTCTCGATTATCGTCTGGGTTATTCTACACGATTATTGTCCATTATCCCCACCACTGAAGGTGGGGGCTGTCAAGTGCATAATTTATCCCCTCCTTTTGTTACCATGGCTTGAGCTTTGGCCAAAAAACGAATTTACGAGGGTTTGAAGCATTTCTCCCTACAGAATTATTATCCCGGTGCGGACCTGAGTTCAGGACGATAATCGAAAGGAGTTTGTATACATGTACGCTGTCGATTCCACCATATATTAACTCTTTTAGTATCGTCGCGAACAAACGATAGTTCTCGTCGTTAAGGAAACCCGATTAATTGGGGAACATAGAGTAGGTACGATTCCCGTAGCAACAGCTGTGCTCCGGTTAGGGTAGCCTTCGAGTTCGTTGGGGGTTCTTATGAATGGGGTGCGCGACGGCCACGTGCGTGCAGAGCCTCGAAAAGTTAGAAGAAGGACAAAGGTGGCTCTCAGCTGCTCCCAGCCTCGGACCTCTCCTTTCTGATCAATAACTACCGTCTGTGTGTTTCCTAACAGTTCGAGTCTGGACGGAGTTTCCCTTCGTGCCAACTTTTCGAGTTCCACGCACTACCCCACTCGATCGAACGCGTCGCCGTCGACCGATCCATCGTCTGGTAAAATCGCCGGAGAACATTTTTTCCGAGGCGTGTCGCCGTTGTAAATAATAGCGAAGCTTATCACGTTAATTCAGGGAAACGATGGGAGCGTCCTCTCTCCCGTCTCCACGGTAATTGAATTCCGACTATCCAGTTCACGCGATCGGAACACGGAAATTGCCAATCGATCAACAGAATCCTCCCGTTTCCCTCGAAACACGTTCCGTCGACGGCTCCCCGATGGTGGTTTTATAGCACGACACGACTCAGCATATATATCGAGAAATGACGGCGTTTCCCTTGTGCACGCCTACGCTCCGAATGGGGGCGAATCCGTGGGGTGGATAGTCGAAGCATGGAATCATTGGTACACGGTTGGTCGCATAATCGTCGAGCAAGGGCGTCGGCCTGTTCGTGTTAGCAACGAAGACCCGAATGGTGTAACCCCCTGTGCAGTTTCTATGTCACTGCCGTTGTTTCCATGACAGCAGAAATTACTAGAACTTTCGCTTCGAAGACTCGAACAGAATCTTTCTTCCCTGCGCGAGTAAAAACGCGTTCGAACTTCCGGTGGCGTTCAGCACGAGGCCAGTAAAAAAAACCGTGAAGTTTAATGTCCGCAAACTGTACAGACAGGGTGTCCGAAAATAATTTCGACACCCGGAAATGAGGGGTAAGGTGATTTGAAACAACTTTTTCCTTAGGAAAAATGTTAACAAAGCCTCGGATAACATTTTTGCTAAGGAAAAACTTATTTCAAATTGTCCCAGGAACCTCCCATTTCCAAGAGTCGAAGCTATTTTGGGACACCCTTTATACAGGGTGTTTCAGAAAGGGATCGATGGCCAGTTCCAAGGACCAAGGTCGAGGTCCGGCGGGGGGATCGATACCACGTACACGATAGACGTGGTTGTACACATATTCGCGGGAACCTACACAGGAATTTCGTGCACATAGCGAGATTTCGCGAATACATGGGCGTGGTCCTGGGCGTTAGTGTCGCGCGTTTCGATAAACGGAATGATCACACGGACAGCCGCCGTTCGAACGTGTCGTCGGATCGTTCTTCCGTGCTAATAATGCGAGCCGAGCGGAATACTAAGTCCCGTGAATCGGTGTGTTTGCATTTTTATCGCGCGCTCGGACCCCCCCCTGTGCATACGGGCGCGAGACAATAACGCCCGGAAAGACGACTCGAGCGATTGCGGACGCTCGACCGTGCTGGCGGGAAAATATTTATCTCGTTATTTCTATGTTAATTCTCCAACAATCCGAGGACAGGAAAGGATTGCTACTTTCTGTTCGGCCTGTATCGACCACTGCTTTCATTACCACAGAAAAACAAAAATGTTGCATTCGGTACGACGTCTTTTACGCAAATTTCCACGAGTGGCGAACGAAGGAGCGTGCGATCCTCGCCTCCTGGGCGTGTCACGTCACGAAACGCTGGCTTCAAAAGCGTAAGGGTCAACGGCCAAGCGTAAAAATTGTCTCGAGCGCTAATTCGAGGACGAAGAGTTGGATGCATACCGCCGGGAGAACGGAAAATAGTTTCTGCGACGTTGTGGAAACCTGAACCGCGACATCCACTTCGTGATTGCGAGTTTTGTGGTCAATCTTACGAGTGATAATCGATGTTAGGAGCCGCAATATGCTCGGAGCCTCGACATGGTATAGATGTAAGTAACTTGTTGGGCGAGATGCGGATAAAACGCAGGAGAAAATACTGTAACGACGTTAAGTTATCCTTCCCAGGGTATATATGGGGCTATAAGAGCCGGCATAAGGGCTGCCGTGAAACCGTGGAAACAGAGGGTCGCCCGATCGATAACGCCCCCATAGGAAATATCGTCCGAGGGGGTTGGTCGTGCCGAGAGAGTGCAAGGTGTCCCATGAAACGGCGCCGCACCCTCTCGTCGGGTTCTCCTCGTGGAAAATAAAATCATTCGGGACGAAGCGAGCGGATTACGAGCTAATGATCGGTAACGACGTCGTCGGAACTCTGTTAACGAGCGCCTGAGATCCAAGCGTCCGAAACGAATTCCATTCGAGCCTTCTTGCGTCGGTGAAAAACGCTGAAATATTCAGCGATCAATGTAGAATCCATGGATGACATTTCACCGTTCGTTTTACTGGGAACGTAATCGATATCTCGTTTACGGTTTACCTATGCCATTTCAACTCCGACCGTTATGCCATACTAAAGGAACATAGACGTGTAATACCTAGACCGTCCATTCTGAATGTCTCCCATAGTCAGGCCGTGGTTACAGGGTGGCTAAAACGGTTTTAGCATTTTGGACTTTGCGATGACTAATTATTTTTTATGATGCAGCTAGGCTACTTTGCTCGGTCGCTTTATTTATGAGCGAGTAAGAAGGTTGGTCATCCGACAGTATTATACGTCTGTTAAAAGAAAAACCACCTAAATCGGTGGAATTTGCATCCTGTATCAGCAAAGTTGTTGTTTCCTCCAATATTGCGTGACGTTTAAACCGCGATAAAACTTAGTCGAGGAAACATGTGTACACCAGGATGTTGAGCAGTCCGTGATGCACCACTAGGAAAATTGGATTGGTTCCACGTGCCTCGATCACGCCCTTCGAGCATGACGGAATGAAAACATTCGTCCTGCGGGACGATTCATTCCAAGGACGGGGATGACCGTGGCAACGAAGAATGTATTGTTTCATTTTTGTTCTTTCTTTCCCTTCACAACAGCTGGTTACGTCGCGCGCCGTGGGTTCGCTTCATCGATCAGAACGGAGAACGACGCGCACCTTGCGCGAGGTAATTGACTTTCACCGTCATTCTTGCGCGTCGCGTCGAGAACGTGCGGGAAGAGAATAGGGAGAACGACGAAGAGCGGAGAAGGTAACCAAAAAGGCAAAGTAAGAGGCACGATGGGAGGAAAGCGAAGAGGTTCTGGCAGCGTCCACCGGCTGGAAATGCAACCCCGACGCCCTCGGCCTTGAATCGTCGCCATTACTGTGCGTGTCATTGGCGAAACGATCGCGTCAAAAACGGACAGAGAAAAGCGTGGAGAACGAGCTGAGGGGGTTACGGGAGGGGAGGAGGAAAAGCAAAGAAGAGGAACGGTAGCCAAGCGAGCAAGAAAGAACGCATGCCTCCGCCGCTTTTGTAGGAGACCGCCACCACTTCCGGTGGGCGAGGACGACGCGAGCGCGGACAAGACACGCATACTCGATAGAACTGCGACAGACAGAATGAAAGTCTCGAGGAACGAACGATGAACCGATACGATCGTCACAGATCAAATGAAATTTATCCTTGTATATTCGCTATTATACTTTAATTCCAACGATCGATCTCTAATTCGATCGTTAATTTAAGTCACAATCTACAGACTCCTCTCGATTATCGTCCCGAACTCGGATCCGCGCCGAGACAATAATCGTGTAAGGAGAAATGCTTCAGACCCTCGTGAATTCTTTTTTTGCCCGATGCTTGAACCTCGGCAACAACGTATCGGGGAGAATTATTGTAGAACGACATTACGATATAATACCACTAATAACCACAGGGCAGCCAGGAATCATTTTACCTCGAGGGATTGTTTTTAGACATCTTTCCTCCAACCGTAGAATCCGAACAGTGCGTCCGTCGATCGCTTTCGACGAACAGAACGGATCTACGTCACGGAGCATCTGGAACTCGGTGATTCGATCGACGGTGCGTATAATGTATTAAACGCGCGCTGGGAAACTAGCATGCGAAATAAAGAAGGTGTGTATTGCGGCCCAGCCGGTTACCCATAGTCCAGCCGTCTGTCCGAGGCGAGTCTGCCGAACACAGTGCGTCGCATTGTGCGTGCTGCGTGTTCGAGCGTACCGGTACGCGTGCACGCCTCTTCGCGTACGAGAGCCGTATGCGTGGAATCACGCTCCCGTGAACAAAGGACAAGCTTTTTCCACGACAATTTCACGCTGAACCGTGGTCTCGTCGACTGCTATCGGCGTTGGACCAGTCTCTTGGCGAACCGAGCGTCGTAGTCGCAGGCCTCGTCTTTACTGCGAAGTACCGTTTGGAAGATCGATGTGGAATATCGTTTAACGGGGAATCACACAGACAACGGAACATCGTCGATCAATGAAGCTCCTATACACTTGTACAGAGCATTTTTAGAGTCTGTGGCACCAATTATCGGCGTGCTATTATACGTTTTTACCGGTTCGAGGCATCGATGAAAGCCAGTAAAAACCCGTTTCGCCAGTCGAAAAACGGAGTTCGATGCATTTCCGGCGTCGCTGGCAACGGATCGCTTCAATTCTAACATATTCAGGACGAGGCACCTA